CCCCCCAAAAAAAAAAAAAAAAAAAAAAAAAGAAGCTACTAGTTATTATCCTTCTTCAGTATTAAACTATTTGACTCTTGATTAGCACATGGTAACTAAATTCCGAAAGTAAATTTGGTCAGAAGTGTAGTTTTATAACAAATACTTGTTTTCCTCTTATTTTCACAGTTTGTGTTGGACTCCACATGGCAAGTGGCTGCTGGGGAAGAAAGCAAAGAAGTGGAGATACAAAACCAGCGGGAGATGAGAGTGCTCGAGGCTGTTTATCCTCGTCCATCTGCCATTCCTCCAAAGTGTGTTGCTTTTCTTAGGGAAACTCTATCGTTTAGAATATCCTCTTCCTTGCACTAAACATCTCCTTTTGTCTTGATGCAGCCCTTCTGTGTTAATGGGCATTGAAGACTCTCACAATGATCTGAACACTCCTCAGATCTCCATCACGCCCATTGAAGATGAAGATGCAGATACATCAGTTGATCCCATGGTACAGAACACCATTCCCATGAGCTCACAGGCTCCACTATTGGCTCCTGGAATGCCTACTGCATCACAGGGCGGTTCCAGTAGTTACCCTAACCCTAATGCCAATGGAAATGCAGTGGCTGCTGGAATGATCCCTGGGGTTGAACCAGATGTGGCAGCGGCTGCACAAGCAGCCTTGACTGCAATAATGACAAGCAATGACCAAGGAAGCTTGATTGACCAGGATTTGCTCATTAAAATTCTCAGCAATCCAACCTTAATTGAAAAACTAATTGCAGACCACATAGCAGCCGCTAACCCTCAGACCATGCCCCCCATGCCAAGGCCTCCCGGGATAATTTTATCTGAGCCACCTCCAGTTCAGATCAGCCGGGCAGAAGCGGGTGGACCCCAATTGGCAGGTCCTCCAAGTGGACAGTTCTACACTCCACCAAATAGAGTGGGACCCATTCCAGCTGAAGTTCTTCCAGTTCCCTCTCCACCTGTGGGGCCTCCTGTTGCAAAGGACATTAACTATTATAAGAGTTTGATTCAACAACACGGGGGAGAAAGACAAGAGAACCCTCCACAGTTTGGTAGTAGCCATCACAACCACCAATTAGGAGTGAACCAGGAATCGGTAAATAACCCTACACCAAGGGATTTGAAGCCCAAGATTATGAAGCCATGCATCTATTTTAACAGTTCAAGGGGATGCCGGCACGGATCCAACTGTTCATATCGACATGATGCGTCATCGCTGCAGCGGGCCAGTAGCATGCCGGAGGTGCAAAGTGCAAAGAGAATGAAGTTGGATAGGGAGATTACAGGTGCATGATCATGCATTTAGCGTCACTCTGTATATTTTTTCAAGAGGAATGACTAATTGATGCCCGGCCTATTTTATATATCTCCTCTGACTTGGTTTTTTTTTTTGGAAAGAAGTATTGATTCAATTTATTTATTTTTCTTGTGTGAAACATTGCGTGATACTCAAATTATGAGTGCGAGCCTTGATATCTACCAACAATTCCTGAATTGTAGGTATAGCTCCCAATTTTCGTGTCCTTGGTATATTTTATGTTTTAGTTATCATTCCTTACAATGTAATTTCTAATAATGAGGTTACTTTTTCATGCTTTTTGAGTACTAATTTTTTGCCTTGGTAAAAAAGGGTGAAGATATATCCTAGATTGGACTCAACTTGTCCTAGATTACACTTTAGCCCCCCGTGGTTTATTTCAAAAACGCATTACCTCCTCCCTGTGATTTAGAAATATATACATAACTCTCATGTAGTTTGAAATAAAGTGCGAAAGTAATGAATTTTGTTATATTTAACGGCAAGTGCAACACACGCACCAAATTGAGCGTGTGCCAAAATAAACTAATAAAATTACGTTTGTACTCTTTTTTTCTTCATTGTCTTCTTTTTTTTTTTTTTTTTTTTTTTTTAACTTTCTTTTAACCTAGCCTAGTTGAAAAAAAAAGCTATTTTAGTCTTGGGATTGGTTTGAGATGTTCTAAAAAAATGTATTTTTTGACTTATTAGTTTATATGGATTGGATTTAGGTTGGATTTGATGTGATGTGTTAGAAAAGTGATGTGATTTAAATAAAATAATGTGACTCAAATAAAATAATAACTTTTTAATTTCTTCTATTATTCAATGTACTCTAACCCAAGCCTTAATTTTGAATTTCCAAACAATAATTTGGACATGACAAAATATTGTGCCTAGTGTATAATTATTCAATAGTTTTGCAGCAGTATATGGTAGGCTGTCACTAATAATTGTTATTTACTTTTTGAATGATAGGCTGTCACGAATAATTGTTTCTCCAATTATTATTTACTTTTTGAAATGATAGGCTGTCACTAACAATTGTCCCTACACTATGACGTTGACTGGGTACGTTGAAAACACTAATACTATTATTATTATTTTTTTATTTTTTTTAAATTATTGGCACTACAGGAAATTAGAGATTTTACGGCGTTTAATTAACGACGTTTTATGAAACGTCACTTTTTTAATAATTAACGGCGTTTTTTAAATGTCGCTTTTGTTGTTAATCAAAACGGCCTCGTTTTATGAATAGAAGACGCTTGGAAGCGCCTTCAAATGACAAACCCTATTTTGTCTCTCCATACCTTTATTTTGAAAACCCACCACCGTCGAGTTCGAAGCTATCACTCACTCAAATCTCTCACTCTCTTGGTTTCTCTCGATTATTCTTTCGAGCGATTGCGATTTCGAAGTTTCTCAGACCCAACCTATCTGCAGCCGTATGGCTTCAATCTCGTAGTTTCTCAGAGCGATTGCAATTTCGAAGTTCGATTTTGAGCACCGCTGTCTACAATCTCAGAAAAATCAATCAAATCCTTCAAAATCTGCTTCAGCTCCATGATTTCGAAGTTCGATTTGGAACTCTTCGTCTTCTTCAATCAGAGGTTAGTGCTTTCGGTCCTTTGTTTTACAATCTCAGAACTCTACAATCTCAAAACTCTACATTGTGCTTTCGATCCTTTGTTTGGTTGCTGAGAAAACTTCTCATTACCTCTGAAATAACATCATATATTTGGAAAAAAAATCTTAGTTGTTCTTTGCTTTTGACTTCTCACTTTCTTCCCATGCTTTGATTAAGGATAACCTTTTTTACCAGTTATGGACGAGTAAATTTATTCTTTTTCTAAGTTTATTCAGCTCTAAACAGTGCAATTCTCATAGGCATTATGTAGTTCATGGGCATTCGTAAACAGTGCAATGCTTTGATCCAGGTATTCGTAAGTCTGTATTCTTTTGATTCGATTATGTCCTCTCTACATTTCCTCAATTCATCGCTCTTCTTTCTTCTCCTTTCTCACGTGTTCATAATTTTACTACTTTTCAACTCTTTTTTTTTTCTTTTTTCTTTTTTGAGTTTCGGTTGAGAGTTTCTAGTTTTAATCTCGGTTCTCGAGAAAGAAGTGAAACTTTAATTGATTTTAATTGTATAGATCGATCGCAGAAAAACACTACACTTTCGGTGCAGAGTTGAGTCAGAAAAATGAAATAAGGCCTACTTCATATGGATACAACTTAGAAGTGAATATATATATATATATATATATTGAGTGCAATGGTGACATTGCCAATAGAAGATCTCAAATAAGATCAGATAGACATTTATTGAGTGCAATGGTGACACTGTCAAGTGTCATTTGTGAGGTGTGACTGATGTTTTCATTGATTTACAGATGATAGCATGGCAATCTTTATGGCATTCCAAAGTCCACAGTTGGAGGTTTTAGGCTTAACCACAATATTTGGTAATGTTACTACAGAAGATGCCACTCGTAATGTATTGCTTCTGGTATGTGTTTAGTTTATTCTATTTTCCAACACAGTAATTCATGCTTTGGCATAATTTCAGGTCTTTCATATTTTTGGAGCATGTTCATGACCGATAACTATTTTTAATGCTCAAAAGGACTGTGTGAGATTGTTGAATGTCCAGGTCTTCCTATGGCAGAGGGTACCCTTGAGCCTTTAAAGGTAACTGCTTTTACATATAATTTGTGGTTTAGTCAACGAGTTGTCCTTCATTCCTTCTCCACAATTGGACTGTGCCAAAACCTTTTCCCCCTTCTAATAACATGCTCAATTTGTCAAACCTCTCTCTCTCTTGGAGGTGGGGTTGTGGTGGTGGTGGGTTGGTAGGAAAGCCTAGCTGACACAAAGAGGTGTTTCCTTCCCTGTTTTGAGATCTAAACTTTTTTAAAGATGTTATTTTTTTTTCAATAATTGGCATGGTAAAACTTTCAAAACTACTTTTATCAATAATGTATAAAGCCAACAACACTTCTGGAATTAAATACAAAATGGTCTCGTTTTAATTAATATAATCCCTCTCTACAAGTGGTTCTGACCTTCTTGGAAAATAACTTGTGGAATTAAATACAATAAGTTGTTTTCCAACAATACATAGTAAAACATTTTTCTTGTAAAATCGTTTACTGAAATATGTGCCAAAAATAAAATTTTGTGTTTGAAAATATTTTATGCCAAACAACTAGAATGTTAGTCTATAATTATAAATAGGATAATCAATATTTTTGCTGCTCATGTACGAAAAACATTGTGGTATACACTTCTCATTTCCCTGCCCGCTTGATTAGTAGTTTTGAGCAAAAGCCTATTTCAGTGCTGTAATGGAAACATCTCTCTTAATTGATTATTATGATCTTCAATAAAGCCTTATAAAGACTTTGGATGTGGAAGAACTTGTATTGAAAAGAGAAAACAGTGATTCAAAAACACTTGAGCTACATACCAACAACAATAAAAAGAACATACAATCCAATAAAACACTTGAGCTAGATAGAGTCATTTTCATGGTTTCAAAAGAATAGATCAATCTGTTTCAGCCAAAAAATAAAAATAAAAATAAAAAAAAAAAAATACAGCAAAAATTCCTCTCCCTATTTGCCTTCAATTAGTCTGCCTCATCGTATCACTTGAATGGCGGGCCTTCCTACATGCGTGGCGTTATGTTTACCGAACCTAATAAACCTCTCACTATTGAAGAGTTCCACATGCCTCGCCCCAAGGCTGGTGAGGTTCTCATCAAAACCAAGGGTAAATTTTTCTTCAACCAACTACACAAACATGTATATGTATAACTGAGCATTTTATGATGTCATTATATGCCGTGAGTGCTTGAAATATGCAGCCTGTGGGGTTTGCCACTCTGATCTTCACGTAATCATAGGTGAACTTCCATTTGCTAGCCCTTGTGTTGTGTAAATCTTTTTTAAAAAGTCAATGACTTGCGGACTCTTGATTTATGGTTACATATCTACATTAGTTAGTGGTTTAATAGATGTAGTAATAGATATTCTGAAAGGGATCATAATCAAATATCTAGTGAGATGTAGCAGGGAAGATCACCACCTCTTGTTTCACTACAAAATTTCCCTGTTTACAACTACATTCACACAACTAGCAACTAGCAAACTTTGAAAAATGATATGCAAAAATTCAATCTTTCCAGTATAAAGCAACCTATTCCAGCCTATCAAAATCTAATGAAATGGCATAAAGGAACGTATTGCATTTAGAAATCTACAAAGGCAAAACCTATATCTAGGAACTATATTAAAATTGAAACAATCAGAATTTCAGAATTGCAAAAGATTGTATTCAAGTAATTAACAAATCTAATTCCCATATTAACATATCAAACAAAAAAATGAGATGATCAATGAATGAAAATGATCACATAAATGATTAATATAGCTAATCTAACAACATAAAACCCTAATTCGGATAGATTTGAAGCTCAATCTGTGTTAAAACAACAAAATCGAGATCCAAAAACCAGAGAACGAATCAAACCCAGATCTGAAATAATCGATCAATCACCACAATTTGGAATTGAAGCAAACCTAGATCTAAAAGAGAGAAGAAGATATCAAACCTGATCAAATTGGAGCCAAGAAGTTACTCAAGTCCAGATCTGTTGATGCTTTCGGGTAGAGAGAGAGGAGCGAAAATTGCGAAGAGCTCTTAAAATCGAATCAAACTGTGTTTATGTTGTTCAAATAATGGCAATGTGAGAAAAAAGAGACGTTTGGGAGGGCTTGGTGTTTTTCTTTCTAGAATTTCGAAGAGAGAAGACTCGTTTAGGAGGGCTTGGAATAACCAGACCAAGTCCAAATCCAACCAAGTATCTGAATATAAAAGAGAACCTGTTTTTAATATAGAGGAAGGGAGAGAGAGAGAGAGAGAGAGAAAGAAAGAGACCGAGGTCGACAAAGTGAAAGACCGAGATCGATAGAGACAGAGAGACCAAGATAGACAGGGATCGACAAAGATCGGCAGAGAGAGAGAGACCAAGATCAACAGAGATTGACAGAGAAAGACCGAGACCAATAGAGATCAATAGAGAGAGACCTAGATCGATAGAGATCGACAAAGAGAAAGATCGAGATCAACAGAGAGAGAGATCGAAATCGACAAAGAAGAGACAGAGATTGACAGAGAAGAGACCGAGATCGACAGAGAGAAACCAAGATTGACAGAAAGAGAGAGAAAAAAAAAACCTGTGATTTGCGGCAACGGCGGTGGCGGTAGCGATGTACGACGATGGTG